CTGAGGAGGAGTCTACACACACACACTTGAGTGACAAAATGCAGTTTCACATTTTGGGTTTACACTCTGGACCATACTGGACCATCGTCGGGGCACGCTTTCAGCATTGTGCCAGCACTGCTTTGCAGCTTCGTACAGGTCCTGGGAAGATTGTTCTCGAACAATGAGTGCTGAGAGTTGAGGGTTTGTTGAACGGACACAAGGGTTTTCAGCTTTAGAAACTGGGAGGGGGGGGCGACTTCGTCATGGTTTCATGCCAACCGGCTGCTGGGTGCGAGAGGCGTGTACATGAAGGGCTTCTTGACCGCTCAAGTTTCAAAAAACCCTACACGCCTAAACCCGAAGCGTCTAAACACCTAAACACCACTTGGAGGTTCATAGGTAGTTATAAGTGGAGTTATAAGTCCCGTAATATGGGTTATAAGTACACTTACCCTACTTATAACCTCACCTATAACTGCCGATGAACCTCCAAGTACACCCGACTTTTCTGGTCTTAGACGTCGGCTGGCTCTCATGAGCAAAACCAAACGCGATGAGTGTAAGGTTTGGGGGGTAAACAGTTCCTCTTCGGTCCCCACGCAACCCTGCTAACCCTTGAAAGGAAGCCTGTTCTGCTCACCAAGGCCCCTTTTGCATGTGCCAGACATCTACTAAAGCCCCATGAAAACCGACTGAAAGCCCTCCACACCAGGCTCCTGCACTGTTTGTTCCACCCCTCGGCCTTCGACGCGATGGAGTAAGAGGGTTTAGCCGGGCACTAGGTGGGTTTTGAATTATTGGCTTTCCATAGTTGGGGTTGCCTTTGGGGAGTTCAGATTTTCATAAGCATTTTACAGGATTCAGAATGGGTTTTCATAGGAGTTTACGGTTCCAGGATCTTGGTGTCGGGGTTGGGATTTAGCGGCTTAAAGTTTGAGGTTTAAGGGTTTCGGAACTCACGGTTTTTGGAAAAGCCTCTCGCGTTCGTACTGGCTCTGTTCACGCAATACTTGACAGTCTGTGCATCTTAACTGCGACATGACGAATTTTCAGCCCAATAAGCCTCTAAATTCGTACCGGAACGGCATGTACGGCATGCATCCCCAGGAGGGCCAACCCCCTGACCACAAACACGTTGAACCCAGAGGCTCTGGACCCGAAATTCTTGAACCCAAATGAAGTAATAAACGACCACCGCTGAACACGACGATTACGACGAGGTGGATGGAACTTTCTCCCAAACTTACACCCTGAATTATACAGTACGTAGCGTCCCGTTCAAGGTGCTTGTGACAAGCTTGACGCCATCTCTTGTGAATCCGGAAAATGAAGTGGACCCGAATTCAGAAAATCCTCCTTACACGGCTTTGTAAAGCACAAGACCCTAAACCCTAAACCCTAAACCCTAAACCCCTAAACCCTAAACCCTAAACCCTAAACCCTAAACCCTAAACCCAAACCCAACACTGTGACCAAAAGCCTCGAAGAGTAGAGGTTGCCGCCTTGACGACGGTCTCCTCCGAGGGGTTTTGCAGGAGATTTGGGGCTTGGGGTTGTTTGCAGCCTAGCTTCCGGTTTAGGGGTTTAGGGTTTAGGGTTTAGGGTTTAGGGTTTGGTTTCGTGTCCCGGGTTGTAGGGTTTACAGAGTCTCGGGATCGGGTTTCGGGCCTGAAGCCTTAAACTTGAGGTCTGCACCAATGCGGTGCCTTGGTGCAGGGTACCTAAGGTTAGGTTTGAGATTGCGAAAGCTCCGGAGTGCAAGTTGAGGCATCGCTGAAAAGGAAAGCGTGATGTAAGTTCAGTTTCACTTGAAACTCGAACCTGACCGCGACCCACAAGCCAGGCAACCTGACCTTAACTCAGCGATGCTCCTGAAATTTTGATACCCGCTATACGATGCTCTTTAAATACCTTTCAGGTGCGTCTTATTGTGGTCTAAGGATTATTGACTTCTGGGGCTCTCTGGAGCTAACGCAGGTGCGATACTAATTAGTATAGGGTTCTTGTGCCATCCTGGACCGTTATCGTACAGGGACTATATTATAGGGGATTGGGATTGCCAGCAATATTCTGTCTCTCTCTCTCTCTCTCTCTCTCTAAGTTTGCAAACCGCCGACTCGTCAGAGCGAGGCCGAAATGCTCTTGGCCCAAAGAGGGCGCAAGTACCAAACGGGTTAGGCAATGGATCTTATCCCTTGGCTTGCTGGAGAACCCCCGACCCTAGCGCCTAATTGAACCCCTGCTCTGTCTTATTGGCCCGAGGCGAAGGATTCAAGGTCAGCAGGTTCTATCGTATGGCTTTTTCTGGCGCAATGCAGAGGCTGCATGCCGCTCACTTCTTAGGCCTGACTGCAGCCGGTAGTAATATTTTGGATAGGGTTTTGAGGTATAGGACACGTTTAATGCAATAAAAAGCCCGAAGGAAAAACTCTGGTTTGTACGACGACGACGACGACTACTACGACGACGACTACTACAAACGATTCCAACCCCCTGTAGTATGGCTTTTGCAGAGCTGCATCCGAGAAGTGTGGGTTCAGAGTTCAGAGACCTAAACTGGGCTTTACGTAGGGTTTCAGCTCTTGCGCTTGCAGCATGCACGAATCAAGTCAAGACGTATACCGTTTGGGTTTGAGGTTTCGGGGTACATCATGGTATCAACATAATAAGGAACCCTAGGGAATCTGGGGAGTATTTGCAATTATTGAGCTTCTATAGGAAGTGTTCGCCGAGTGTCCGAGGTGAGAAACTCCCACACGCCGTCCGAGGCCTCAGATGTGTGTATCAGTCGCATGCAGACAGAAGCACGGAGGAACCACAAGGTCACGAACAAATCCCTTCTCAGCACCGAGCGAGTACCATGAATGGTTCATCCTCCTTGCGGATCTCCACTTTCCTGACCTCTGGTGTCGGCATGACACCTCAGAGAGCTGAAGAGCTTAGACAGAACTCAACAATAGTAGCTAAACCAAGGGGAAGTGAGGCAGAACATCTGGAGATCGGCGTCAGTTTGCATGAGCAGTTAGGAGGCATGCTTCAAGCGGCAGCCCGAGTTTTGAAAGAGCGGAGGCCCAAATACACTTACTGTTGCCGCCTTTCTTGCTTTATGCAAGGATAACAAGAGCGACGCCTAGGTCGTGGGGGTAGAGATGATTACAATTTCTGGACTTGACGGCGTTGAGGCCCAATGGAGTCTGGAGTCCAACAAGCAATGCGGGAACGCTCGTGGAAGGTGCAGGTTTCGGGTTTGTTCAGCCATTAAATTGAAGGCCTTTGCATCAGCCCATGAGTGCATTCACTGCCGAGTCTTGGTTGCAGAAGAAAGATGCTATTACGCTCCGTCTGCATGCTGCGACACAAAGAATGAAAGCCAGTGCGACGACACCTCAAATCGTCATCCTGCGTGTTGTTTTTTGGCCTGTCGGCCACGGGAAGAACAAACCTCCTAAATTCCGATCTAACCCAACCCTACAAAATGCTTTGCAAGCCCCAGAAATACCTGCAAGCCCAGAAGCAACAAACAAGCTACGTAATCACCTCTGCGCATAGCCGGAGCACCGATGGGCTTCACAATCTGATCACCGATGCTTCTGCTCATGCTGAGTCCTTCGGAGATGTATAGGTTTCAGAGGCATAGACGGCATAGAGCCTTTGAGGATACATAGGGACTTAGAGGATGTGTACAGCTCGGCTCAAGGGTATACGCATTTAGATTTGAGGGTCTTGGCTAGGTTTCAGGGCACTTTTCCACCATTAACCCTAAACCCCCGAAGGCGTCGGGAAGCAGTGCAAGGCATCGCAGCATTCCCTCGATTTAGGGTTTAGGGCTTTAGGCTTAACCCAAAACCCTGAATCTTTCATCTCACAAGCAGTGAGGCTCAGAGGCAACATGTTCCGAGAGTCTGCCCAAATCCTGCCCGAGGGTTTAGGGTTTAGGGACCCTAAACCCTGAACCCAGGAGGAAGACAAAACTAACCTTAAGCTAAACGTGTAAGCCCCCAAACTCTACATCCCCACAGTCCAAACACCCCTAAGTCCTCAACCACTCTCAACCCTAAGCCCTGGGTCTTTCCAACCTCGACGGCGCCCTGCATCGCGGTTCTGTGAAGAGTAGTACTGCAAGAACAGGGTTAATTACACCCGGGACGAAGTCAACCGAGATGCCTGGCTTGTCGGTGCCCTTCACAAAGATTCGGTGCTCCGTCCTCGCTGTGAAAGACATGGCGCAAGCGCGAAATGAACCGATGCGCCTTGCATCCTAACCACAGTCATGCCGCCGCACCTAGCAGGTCAACTCCCGAGACATCAACCTGCCGGACCCCTAGCTTCCGGCAAAGCCCTAACACTGAAATACCTCACCCTAACCCCCCAGGTACCTACTATATAGGGTACTAGAGCCCCTAGGGCCCTATATAGTAAGTACCTGGGGGGTTAGAGTCAAACAGGTAAATCGGTAAACCCATAAGCCACAAACGCCTAGAGACCCTTAGCTGCCGTCCTTCTGCCTCACAACCCCTCTTGACAAAGACCGTTGGGATCAAATGTAGAGGCCACAATAATTACCAATACTAGGTTTTTGTTGCAAAGTGTCTCACCAGAACTCAATCATCTGTGGGATGCGCCATGAATAATGGCACGACGATCCGGCCACAAGACAAGACAATACTATTTTGAGGGCTCCTTATTATAAATATACACCAAAGCCTCTATTCTAATTATTACGGCCCCTATACTACAAACAGCCACGTGAAGCTGGCTCTCGGTGCGGTCCAGCCATCAGGGTACACCTGGCAGGCGGGGTATGGATGGCAGGTGGTGCACGGGCAGGCACCGGAGGCACCCTCTCGATGCAAACAATCCCCAAGGCTCCAAGTATACAAAAAGTACCTACTTTGGGGTCTAAAGTATGTAAATAGTTCCTACTTTGGGCTGTTTGGAGCGCCAGGGAATGTCAACGATTTCTGCATGCAAAGATCTATGAAGTTATCTTCGTCCATCTCCTCCACCCTGTCTCTCCTTACGATGTTCCGTGCATGTAGGAATTGTGGCAGTCGTTCCATCTGTCCGCCCATCCGTTCGTCCTATGTGCTGTATTTTCTCGAAGATTGCATCTACAGTGTGTGTAAAATATAGGGGTCTAAGACGAAGAGTACAGTTAGCAGCATTGCAAGGGAATTGTACTGAGGCTGCAAGGGGACACTCTTTGCTGTCATTCCGCTCCCGCGCTTTGTACGGCATTGGGGCTTGTAGTCTCGTCTCAGGCTCGCCCTTTGGGATTCGCGGTGTCGAGCCAAGAGCTCGGGCCCTGAGGAGTTCGGGTGTAGGCGGGTAGTTTAAAACCTTGAGCTTCAGGGTTGTGATAGGATTGTGTGGGCCCATACAGGCCGCGCCTGCACTAGTAGATGCCTCTTGCACTCCAGAACATACAAGCACGCAGTATTGGTAACAGCCCTTCAAGAAAAAATCATGCAGTCTTATGCCCTCACGCCAACGTTAGAAGAGTCGAAATCTCCCCCTCGTACTGATGAGGTCATGATTTCAATATGTCCGTGTATATATGTACATATATATATATACACACATACACATGTTTTTGCTTTATAGCTTAATTCTGGGTGGAATCTAGAGATGCAGCAATCACTTCCAACACTGCCTAAATGCAAGGAGCCCTCAAAAGCACCCTTAAACGAAACCTTTGAAGACTCAGCGGCCCTGAACCCGAAACTCGAAGCCCTAAGCCCGATGTATAAACCCTTAAAGCGACCCTTGTAGGATTTAGGGCTAAAAGTAACCTGCGGTGAGTGTTCTAGTTATGGTTTGAATTCAGGGTTCAGGACGGAAAGTACCATTCTAGCAACGCTAGTGGGGTTCGGGGTTTAGGGGTTTAAAGTAACAGCGAAGCATAAAGCAATTCTACGAAACCCTGGACATCCCTCGATACAGTGGCCTCGGTGTGGATCTCACCTCCATTCTCCTCGATGCGCTGCTTCTCGACTGCATTGGAAGGCCTCCGTGCTAGCACCCCTTGGGTTCCTGTAAGTCAAGTGTAGGGGCCCTCATGTCGCGGTTCTATCAGGGTTCTAAAGGAATCCTGTAACAGATCTCTTCACCGTGGGCCTCCCAAGTTCAGGGTCCAAGAATTTAAGGTTGCGGTTTAGGGTTTGAGGTTCAGGGTTTAAGGGTTGAGGGTGTATGAGGTTTCTAAGGCCTTCCCGAGAAAGTTTCGTGTTTAGGGTCTTCTTCAAAGCTTGATGCGCCCTAAGCGCCAGAACCTTCCAGCATTTAGGGTTGTTGCCGGGGGCAGAAAGCACAGGCTTGCCTTTAGAGCTCAGGGTCTACAAACAAACCTCCATAACCGGCCCTACAACGCGCTTTAGAGTTTAGGGTTTGGGGTCAAATTAAGTTTAGGACGGCAGCCAGGGCGCTTATGGTCAGCACTTTCATGCAGAATTTGGGACCTCGGCGCTGCGAGCAAACAGCTGAAAACAGGCTCTCGTGAAAAGCCGAAAGACTAAGCAAACGAAGACCAAAATCTATTCATAAGCAGTAACATAAGTTCAAACCGTATACGGTTGTTATAAAACCATCAGATCGATAAGGGTAGTTGTCAAAATTATGGTCCCTTTTGGGGTACCCTAAATAATAGGTGCCGTATTATAATAAGGACCCAAAAAGGGACCATAATTTTCAGAAAATTAGGATACCTTATTTGGGGGTCCTTATAATCGGGATCCTATTATTTAGGGTACTATATTAGGGTCACCTATTTCCGGAACTCCTCAAATCGTCGTGTCGATTCCCGTCCCTTCGGCCCCTCCACAAGCCCTCTACGGGGCTTCAACCGGCACTGGGCGCTCGCATGCCACACCGGGATTTCTTGTTCAGGGTGCAAGGCACAGGAGTAACTTGGAATGTTCACAACGCCAGGCATATGACATGGATGCCGATGGTCATATGAAAGTGACATAAAAGTGAGCATGCCGCAGCAGTGTAAAAGTTTTATTCAACTTGACGCATTATTACCGATCCAGTCTAGTCTGTGGAATTCTATCTTTACCAACCTGTAGCAGTGATCTACTGTGCGAGAACGGTCAGGGGAATAGCGCGAGAAATCACAGAACAAAACGTCTGTCTGTCTCTGCGTATGTGTGTGTGTGTGTGTGTGCGCCTCCATATCCTTCTCAAGGGTCGTGGCCCAGCAAAATATGGGGCATGGCAGAGATTCGAACATGGCCTACCAGCACAAGCCGAAAGGAACACATCCCTACAGACTTGGGCACAATGTAACACCAGCTTTGCTACTATAGACTGCACGGGGATCTTCTGCAACTACGTTGCGGGCGGTAAATGTGGCAATGGGCAAGTATAGTCACGCACACCTCAAGATAACATCTTTCAGGACTTACATGTACTGGACACTGTAGACGCTGTGTGCCACGGAGGCATTCTCGGACGTCGGCTTGCTTCCGATGACGCAGCGGGAGTCGCCAACGTGCGCAATGTAAACCTGGAAAAGCCGAGGGGCAGATACATAGGTTCTTAGTACTATCAGCATGTGTATATAATATATATATATATATATAGTAGTAGTAGTAGTAG